CATATAGCTGCCATAGGAACGATCGGTCGAAAATTAAGTTGTTGTATGAAAAACTTTTTTGTTTCTCAAGATATCTTGACCAAAATTTGGCATTTATTAGTTTCACCATGCTCTTCAAATTTAAGCAAAATTTTATTAACATCGGACTACTATAGCATATAGCTGCTTTAGGAAAGATCGGTGGAATAGTTGGATCTTATATGGCAAAAGATTCTGATTTCTTGTGTTGCTTTTATTTTTATTTTTATTATTATTATTTATTTAAATTTTAATATTATCAGAATTATTATTAATGTTATTATTTTATGAATATTTAAAAAACAATTATTATTATAGGAATATTTTGTAAGTTTGAATGAAAAATTGAATTTTTTCTACTGCGTGCCGTTCTACTGAAAATATTTCGAGTCTTGAATATTGAATAGCCGAGTCTACCTGCAACTTTTTTTATAATTTTTTTGAACCAAACAATTTTTAAAAAGATTTTGCTAACAAATTTGTATTATTATTATTATTTTTTTTTTCACTTCGCGACGAATATATGATTAAATATTGATCAATGAACGATATGATGTCGCTCGTAAAGGCTTTTGATTTATGGCCGATAATTATCGATTGTGATTTTAATCAGTCGCTATCAGCACTGGACAAACGATGTCTGCGCCCTGAGATAAGAACTTTACTACTTGGCCCGAGTATAAATACCGAGCATGGTCAGTTCTGTGGTTAAGTTGGAAATCAACATGAAGTTCATCATTGCGAGTGTTATGTGCCTGAGCCTAAGCCTGGCCAGCGTTGGCCACGCCCAGCCTGTATCGCTGCCGGCGCCACTGGACGCACAGCTGCTGAGCGTGGTGGATGAGATGACACAGATCGGTGAGAATGCTGGCAAGGCGCTGGTCCATCAGTATGAGGAGATTGTTGTGGAGCCGCAACAGCAGCTGGAGCAGGCCGTCGAGCAGGTGGAGGTGCGTCGCTCGGAGAGTCCACAGTGTGTAGCCGAGCAGGATGCGCAGATCGAGAACATTCTGGATAGCGCACATCAGGAGCTGCACGAATGCGGCTTGACAGCTGCCCACGCCTCCGCGGAGATTGTCACCGATGTCAACCAGGCCACGCAGCAGCTGGTCTTTGGCGGCTACGCCTTGGGGCGCACCTACAACAAGTGCCAGAACTACAAGAATGTGGTGCTCAGGCAATCCTGCATGGCCAAGTTCTATGTCCAGGCCACTGTCTACTTGGTCAGCGCCCGCTCCTCCCTGAAGACCATCAAGCAGACCACCAACGATCGCATTCCGGCCGTCTTCACCGACAGCAATGCCTGCACTCATGTCGCTTCCGAGAAGGCTGTCACTGCCCTGGATGTGATCAATGCTGATATCGATAAATGCATTGGCCGGGCACGTCGCCGTTAAACACTCCGATTATCCATTTCGTTAATAAAACTTGTGTAACCGAGTTCGGTTTGAGCTTACTTTGACTTCAGCATGCTTCAGTTGACGCTTACTTAACCCAACTGTTTTTGAAGCTTATCGATAAATATCGATTTACAATTTCACTACAATTGATTGAGTGTAGCGTTCACTTTGGCTACACAAATATTGCTACCCTGTGATCATTGAAATAGAGTATAAAGGGTATCAAATTTAGACATAGCATATACATATATATTACTGATCAGCATCAATAGCCAGATAGATTTCTCTAGCCATATCTGATTTAATACAAGCCTTCATCTGAGAGACTTTGGGAGCTTGAAACGATTCATTTTGAAAGCAGCTTCCCCTTTTGCTTGCGCAGCTCACGTTTATTTCCATTCATCGATAGCTCATCGCGTTTTCACAAACTCGATAAGTATCGATTTTCAGTTAAGTTGTTTTTTTCGGCAATATCTTGAAGTTCAGACACTAAATTAGGTTTAGTGTAAATTGATAGTGTAAGAGATTTGACATTTCAGGATAGCACATATATTGATTCAATCCATTTTTAATTTGATATCTGATGTGCAGATTATGATAAACGTCAGTTGACTAATTTTTAACATAATATTTGTGATTATCTATATCGAAAGAGGAGTGTAAAACTACATAGTTTGACAACAATCATGATTAATATATTTTTATTTGTGTTCAAGTTTTTGCTGATTTGATTGAAGTCCGTAAAGCGGAAATACTTGAAATTGAGATGAGCTAATATTCTATTTGATCCAGTCTTGTAATCCTCAGCAATTTCACAGCTGCAAAATTAATTCCTTTTGCAATCAAATTGATGCCAGATGCGTGATGCGAGTAATCACAATTCACACAATTTGAGCTCTTGACAGCGGCCATCAAATGTATTTGGAGCATTTATTGCGGGGCTTTCTCGTGCTCTTAGATTTATTATTTATAATCTTAAATAAGCGCATTTAGAGGCTGGCAAAATTTTTAATCAAAATATAACTTAATAATTAATTTGACGTGCAGGCGTCTTTCGGCTTTCAGTTTTCAGCTTTTGCTTTTGCATTTGCCAGAGAGCTTTGGGCATAGCCTTCGAATGGCTCGCTTTTAATTACGCACAACTGACCCAAGTTTGATAATTATTGGACTATGAATGGCAGTGAGTGTCGAATAGTCTCAATTTTCGTAGGTTCTTGCTTTTGGTCAGGCGGTTTTCAAGTTTGCATTGAACTTAAAATGAAACTTTAACTCAAAACTAAATACAATTGAATGCGAACTCGAGCTAGAAAAAACAAGTCTAAGTGCTGAGCTCGACACTGGAAGATACCCATTAATCTTTACCCAGCGAAAAGCTGCGGTTACAAACATACGCAGATTCTTTCTCGAGCTACTTGCTTGGGAAAAACACTCATTCGAATAACTTCGGAACCTATAGTCCGATCGTTTAGCCAAAGCGCAAGGCTGTATATTTATGGGATGGGATTTTTTTTTAATTTTGTCTGTTTAACTATACTAAGGCTCTAGCTCTTAACATCTTCGAGCTATGTTTCAAAACCGATATTTATCGATTTATTGACATCGATGGAGACATCGAAATAAAAGATGAGCTCGTTCTGCATAAGATCTTATATATTATGCAGAATATGTTTTAGATCTCTAGCTTAAAGACGGACAGGTGGACAGGTGTAAAGTTGGACAGATTGAGCTTAAGTGACAAAAAACTTTTGAGAATATGCCGAGTTAACCGGACTATAACCGACCCCTTCAGAATCTGATAAAACCAGCTTTTGCCATTGTTCCAAGTACAGGGTATGCAACTAACGCGCGGGCGCTGCTAGAAACGCCTCAAAGTTGCTGCGGCTACAAATCAAAATCGAAATCAAAATGAAATCCGGTGGCCATCAGGCATCTTGTCACCGTGTTGCACATTCAATCATAATGCCATAATCATGGACTTAAGCAACATATTAAATGCAACGAATTTCAAATGCACTGCAATGCAATATCTTAATTATAGTTGATAAGATAAACCTAAGCAAAGTAAGGGATTGAGAGTTAAGAGATTTTCGAAAATGTATTGAAAGAGTTCTTCAATTAAGGAGGGATATCATTATAGGGGAGGGAAGAGGGATATCATTATAGAAGAGCGATATCATATAGTTATATATAATATATATATAATTGAATATATTTATTGTATGTATTATTTTCGATAATTTGAGTATATCGATAGCCCGGCACTCAGCATCTGATGACATAGCTAACATGCTCCTGCCTGTGGCAGAGCATATCAGCAACAGCATGAGCAGCATGTTAGAACGCCTTAATCGCGAGTGCCTGACTAGTTGATGCCCTGTAATCAGGGCCTATCTGCTGTTACGAACACTCGAGCAGTCCCACAGAATAACTCGAGTGTTTACGGTACGATCTAAATGAAAATTTTTATGATTTGATATGATAGCCAAATTTCTGTATATATCAAATATCAAAACACAAGGTTCTAGTCTGAAAAATAATATTTTTTTAAAAATTTTTGGCAGAAGAGTTATCGAAAATTAATGTAATAGCTGTGATGATATAAGATAGTATATACAATAAATAAAAAATAAAAATTTGAAGTCTCTAGCTTCATGACGCGTTTCAGCAGGACATTCAGACATGCGAACATGTCAAGATCGATTCAGAACGTCCTGCTGATCAGCAGTATATATATATGCATGCTTTATGCACTCTGCTGCACAGCCAATATACCCATTTGCAATGCGTACAGGGTATTCCAGCCACAAAAGTGAGAAACGAAGCGCGCGCAGTTTTGATCGCTTGTGTGCAACGCAGCGTGGCGCGTTTCAAGGGCAACTTTGAGACGTTGCAAAAGTGCAGCGGGCGGGCGTAGACCAACCGCCAATATATGAACACACACACACACACACACACACACACACACACACATACAGACATACAGACATACAGACAACAGGCGACACACGCACACAGAGAGTCGAAGTGTTGCATGACTCGCGCATTGGCCACTTATGGTCAATGTCAAGCGGCTCGCGACGTCAGTTGCCGCCGTTGCCATTTTGAATTCAAATGCTCGCAAAACGCCATCCCCAACCCGCCGCAACGGACGATCAGCTGCGCGCAAAGTTCAAGCGACAAGTTCAAGTGATGTCGTCAGCCAGAGGGGTCTAGCCAAGTGTTACAGCCCAACAAGAACATCAACAACAACAACAACGACAATAACAATAACAATAACCATAACATTAACAAGAACCTGTAGCTGGAACTGGGAGTCAAGCCAAAGCAATAACCAAAACTAAAACAGAACTAGAACCAGTTTGTCATAAGCCAGGGCAAAGCAGAACGACTCAGGCTCAGCTCCGAGAACACGCCCCCCTCCCCCCTCTCTGACAACAGACACACAGCAGCTTAACAGAGCGACTATAACAGACGATGATGACGTCGACGTCGCCGTCGCCGTCGCCGTCGCCGTCGACGCCAACGTCGAACGCATTGAACTTGTTAGCAATCTTTCGGCTCCATTGTCAGTTATAAACTAAACGCAAAACGAAACGGTTCGCTAAACGGCACGCCTGCAAAGTGCATAAAAGCCCGCACTATTATTATTTTTGTTTGAATTTTGATTTATATTATTTGCTTGTGTTCGTGTTGTTGCTGCTGCTGCTGCTGCTGCTGCCCAAAAGCATGACAATTTATGGACTGCTGGTGCAAATCATAATCATCTGCAATTAGAAAACTGAACTGAACCGAGCTGAACTGAACTGAACTGAGCGGAGCGGAACTGAACGTGACGGAACGAAAGGACAGGGCACGGAACTGGTTCGCAATGGCGCCGCCCGCTGAGCAGCCGGAGGATGATTTTGTTACCAAGGTGAGTGCAAAGGAGTTTCCCGTAGGCTTTCGCAGCCCTCGCGCACCAGTTAACGTTCGTCTGTTAATCAATTGTTTTCATTATTTTTTATTTTGGATCGTGGCTAATTCACAGCCTTGTCCGTGGCACACGGTCAAGGTTGTTGTTGTCTTTTTCTTATTAGAGAAATATTAGCATAATATGATCAATGGGCTTGACTTGGGCTAAATGCAAAGCCAATCGTAAATCAGCCGAGCCGGAAATATTTGCTTCATTGTTTTTTTTTTTTTTTCTTGTATATTTTTTTTTTTTACCTTTTTAGTTTCCGTTTCGACATTTTTGTGTGCCTCAAAGCAAAGGCAACAAGTTGATTGAATATATTCATATAAATATATATTTATTTATATGTTTATATATATATCTAGCTGTATTTAAATATTTGTATGCACAGATAAATATATGCATCTATATATAAATATATATCAAATGCATATAAACCAGTTTGTTAAATATTTTTTTTCTGTGCCTTCAATTTCTTTTTTTCAATTTAAATATATATATCTAGCTTTTATCACACCTACGTTAATTAAACAGCCCGATCGGCACTCTCCAGTACGTATATATATCTATATACTATATAGCTGCATATGCACAAGATCAGCTGCTTTTAAATACAGCTAAGTAGCTTTCTTAGCTGTGGCTAATTAATCTGTTTTATTTGTGCTCAAAGTTCCCACGATTATGTCATGATCAAATATATATATACATCTTAAATATATTTTTATATACATATAAATATAATCTCAGCATGATTAGTTAATTATGCTCTTGTGTTTTCTGTTCTATTCTCTTCTGTCTCAAAAAATCATATACCGCAGCTAATTCTAGAAGTTAAAAGCATCATAAATCTTTAAGAAGAAAAAAGGGAAATATAATCTCAGTTGGAAACCAGTTTAGAATTGCGTAATACTCGTTCAGAGTTCCAATTATAGCTTATACAGCTTTTTAAAAGATATTCATGCTATATTTGCATATTATATAAGACTTTATCAGATCTAGACTTCTGCTAGCTGTGTGTATAGCCACATGATCTGAAGACTCTTTCTACCCGGGACTAGAAAATATACCAAGTTTGCAGTCTTTCTACCAAGTTATGCTCTCTTGCACAGTGTGAGAGATTATAAGAAGTATAATCCAAATGGAAATATCGAAAAATATTTCAGAAAAGTTCACTTATACATATATATAAAAATAAAAATGTACCCTGTATATATGCTAAATGAATGCAAAGCGTTGCTTATGTGATCATATAAGGTATTCCCCCAAGCCGATAACCTTGTTCTTTGTGTAGGGGGACTTTTTCTTTCGTAGAGCCTAGACATGGGTCAATGAAAGGTTCGTTCTTATAGATAATGATACAGATACATGCTGAATAAAGCGTTGGTAGGGTTCAGCTGTTAGTTAGGAGATATAATAGATCATGTATCGTATATAGCTGCTAGTTAGAAGCTGTTATAGATCTATGTACTTCCGAACCAATAAAGAATTGTGAATAAGGTGAAGCTGCTAGCTGGCACCTCACAGAAAGACCAATAAAGAATATAGAATAAGTTATATAAGCCTATCATTAATAAGCTGCTGTTCATATGTTCACCTGCAAAACATCAAAAACTGACTCGGTTCAAATGGGCTAATTTCAAAGAGAGAATATTAATAAATCTTTTAAGATTAATTTCGTGAGAAACCACACATATATTCTCATCAAATATCTTAGGAAATAATATTTATTTAATTTATATTATGCATGTTCCATCCAAAATTGCGAAATTTAGCAGGCAGTTTATTGCGGCGCTGCCACCTTGTAAATGTGGCAATACAGAGCATGGAATACAATCTAATTGCAAGCTAAAGCAACATAAATTTTTGCACTTTGTCATGAAGATCATTAACCTTTGCGCTATAGTTAATTAATTTATTGAACTTTTTTAGCTATTGAGAGCAAGAAACCGAAACACAATATATATAGTTTACCATGAACTTTGCCAGGCACATGACAAATGCATCTAAATGGGCTCTGCACAAGATAAATCTAGTTCGGAATGCATTAACAAACGAAATTCGACATATTTATCTGGCATATAGCGTAGTCCGGTATTTGAAGACAAATACAAATGATAAAACATCAATTTCGAATTTGTGAAATGTGCTTAAAGTGTGGCAAGTGCAGCGATAAATGCTGTACAAATTCAATTTCTATAATTGGCAACGTTTGGCTTAAATGAGATTTAGGCCGTAAATAATAGCCAATTGCTTTATTTTTTTTTTGGAAAATGCAAAACGCCAAGCCGCAAACTCTACAAGAGCGAGCACAATGTATCTGTATCTAAGCCCGTGTATCTGTATCTATGCTTGGCCGTATTCGTATCAAAATGGCCAAAATTAAACAGCCAAAAGTCGCGTATCTCGAGAATATCAGACAGTCGCACTTGGTGCTTTAGCTTAAATAGCTTTTGTATCTTTTGCCTGTTGTATCTTGTATCTTGTATCTTGTATCTTTTGTTCGGCCAGACGCTCTAGTATCTTAATTATTATTGTGCCCAGCGTTGCGGAACATGTCGAGACAAATCGCCAGTCACAATTACTCACATAAAACGACATGAAGCCGCAGCATAAATCCCAAAACTCCAAATTATTGTTGATAGATACAAATATGGTTTTTCTTCGTTTTTGTTTTTGTTTTCGGCTTTCGGTTTTATATTCTTTTCATACTTATTTGCCACACGAAATACTCACTTAGTTCCCCTCTTCTCTTGGTTTTTGGTCTGCTTCCGCATTTTTTTTTGATGCGGCGCCCAAAAGCATTTACAATAATACCCAGAAATACTAACAAAGGCGACGATCGACGTCCATAAAAGCCAAAACAAAGCAATTAATTGAATGGAAATCACAAAAAAAAAGAATAAGTAAATATTAAAAAAATGCTCAGAAACAACAGTCCGTTTGGCCGAACTTCAGATACCCTGCCGTACATTTGACAGCTGTTTGACTTTTATTAGATGAACAACGTTAATTAAACTTGTGTCAATTAAGCCTAACGCAACTTATTCTATAGCTAAGTCGAGTATATACATATATATCTCTTTAAACCGACCTGAGGCTCGTTTGAATGAGACCTTTGCAATCTCCTCCGCATTTGGACTTATCCAATTCTAGATTCCTTTAGAAGGTGCCCAGCTAGTCGAATGGGTTGACTTCCAAGCCGCGCGATATAATTCGCAGCCTGTAGGTTTATTACGTTCCCGACTTTGGGCACGCCTGGTTCCCATTACATATCGGATATTCGCTTGTACCACGGTGCATCAGACAGCTTGCAAGTTCCTGACCTTTGACGCGATCTCGCAGCAATCCCGTATACCTGTATGCCATTACGCCAGGCGAGAGCTATGCAGGTATTATAGATGGCCACCTTACGTGGACAGCATTTCTACCATTTACAGACCATCTAAGTAAAGTGAGGTGGTTTTTTTTGGCAGGGCTGCTAGCTCATAAGAACTTTACGCCAGTTCGGTTCCAGCTTAATGTTTTCGTTGGATTTGGTTCAAACTTTGACTCGTTTGTTATATATATATTCAAAATGTAAATGAAAAATTGCAATTTGCTTTAATGATTGCCCGTTCTACTGAAAATATTGCCGGCTGTAGCTATTTTCATATGGAAATTGCGGGCTAAATTTGTACTCTACCCAAAATTGGCTTGGGGCCCAAGCATTTTGTGCTTTGGCTGTAGGTCTTTTTCAAAAGTTTTTTATATTTTAAAACCAATCGGTCTTGAAGAGTAGAAGGATTATAATTCTGTTGAAACAAGGTTACGTAGGTCCTCCAGATACCCGCGCAGTACGCGTTTGTTTCCGGTATTCGATAAAGTGTCCCGTTTCCAAGCAATCGATTAAAATCGATAACAATAAATCCTGTTTTATTTCATTTTAGAAGAAAGTTCAGGGTATCTTCTAGTCGGCCATCCCGACCTGAGCGCTCTAACTTGTTTCAAAACAAGAATATTTGTTAAAACTTAGAAAAATTATTGTAAAACTTCTTTGAGTGTTAAATACGCTCTGCAAGGTTATTTAGATAAAAATAAATCAAAACGAAAAATTTCGGATATCTTAGGCACGTCGAAGATTTAATACCCTTGCAGACATTTGGCTTAAGGTTTTGCAGATATGTGAGAATAGTAAAGCGCTCAAATGCTGAGATTTGATGAAGCTATCTTGGAAATCAGAATATTTTGACATATAATAACCTACTTTGCAATCGATTGTCTTATGGTCGTTTATATGATTAAGTCGTGCCTTGTTCATAAGATTTTGCATCTATGTAGGGAGCAGACTCTTGGACAGATGGTTCCTATGGCAGATACATAATATAGTGGTCCGATGTTAATAAGATGTTTTAGTAATTATAGTTTGGTCAATATATATTCAATAACACACAAGTTTTTCATACTAGCTCCTACTGTTCGACTGATCGTTTCAGCTATTTGATATAATAGTCCGATGTTGATAAGATTTGGCATGAGGAGCATATCAAGATATCTTACTTCTCGACTGTTCGTTCTTATGGCAGCTATATGATAAAGTTGTCCGATCCGGCCAGCTCCGACGTACATATGTATGTACTGCCCTCCATAGAAAGATGAAAGCTTTAAAACTGAGAGAGACTAGTTTCAACAAGCTGATATAGAATATATATGCTCCTTATCCATCTTATCGTTCTCACACTTTATGACAAAGTTATAATACCCTCTAGAAGCGTATGCAATATTTCGCAGATGCTTGATGGGATGTAAGCTGTCTCCTTCTATGCGTTACACACTTCATGATCAAGTTAAAATACCCTCTGAAAGGGTATACATAACTTCGTATATATCTCGTTTGAAGCTCTGTGCATGATCAGCCCTCATCAACTCGAGCAGCATCTCGGAAGGTAGCTTCAAGCTGAGATTCCGATTCGTGACGTCTGCACACAACACGTTATTGTTGTTGTTGTTGTTCCTGTTGTTGCTGTTGTTGTTGTTGTTGTTGCTGTTGTTGTTGCTGTAGCTCGCATTGAGTGTCATGGAGGTCAAGTTCAGGAAACACCGCATTGCTAGCGAGCACTTAATCTGTTTTTTTTTTACGATTGTGGTTTGTTTGCATTTGGGTTTGTTGCGAAGAGCTGCCAAGCCTCATGTTTTTTTTTATTTGCAATAATAAAGTCGGTATCTAATTATGTTGCTAATTCGGTTTATGTATTGAAATATAAAATTAGCGATTTTATTAGTTGGTTTATGGATATGGATTAACTAATTATTAAGACATACATATATTAACGAATTTTTGCATTGCAGCTAGCAAATCTTATTTATTCGAATGCAGCGTCAATTTAGATTCTTAACTTGACCAGTGTTGTAAATCGTACACTTTTCAAGTGTCCGCTGATCAGTGTTGTAAATCGATTTGCAGGGCAAGTCAAATTTTGTTTCCTAAATTGGAAAACCTACTGAATGCTTCTTAAATTTTGAAATTCATACATATTTTTACAAATTTAAAAAAATTAATTATTTATGAATAAATCTGATTTTTTTAATATTAAGGAAACGAATGTCCAGAAAATCTCTTTTAGTTAATTTCCCCTTAACTTAAATTATTTGTGATTGTAATTAATTTATGGTCCATGTACATGTTTCGAAGTTTTATGTACAGAAAATTGTAGCCATATTTTGTTTTTTATTGTTTATTAGATTTTTATTTTTGAGCTGTCGCTTGCGGGCCAGGGCCAAAAAGCAAATAAATTAATTTGATTTATGCTAATTAGTTCGTGTGTGTGTGTGTGTGTGTGTGTGTAAGTGTGTGCGTGGCATGAAAACATATAAACTAAAGATGCTTGAATAATATGATAATGTTTTTTTCATGATTTTGCTGCTAATTACAGATACCTTCAATAATTGGATTCTTGAACTTGGACTAATTGGCAATTGAACTTTTGGGCCGCGGACGTGCTGGAAGCATAATAAATAAATTAATTAAGGCTGAATATGGGCGCGCTGCAAGGTCTATATATACATATACAACTTTTTTTTGTGGAATAAATGTAATAAATTAATGAAAAAGTGCTGGCAATTTATTTAAAAGCTGCGTGCAGCAGGCAGCGCAGCTGCTGTCAAACCGTAGGCAGCATTTTCGTGCTGCGCCGAAAAGTATGCAATGGTAAAAGGCAACGCTGCATGCGGCGCCGAGCTGCAGCTGGGCGAATTGGGAACTTTTGGCGCTGAGCCGCGCTGTTATCGATAACAGCGCTGCTATCGACAGTTGCAGCAGAAGTTTGGGCAAACAAAATGACATATGACGAATATGTGAATGAATAATGTAAATTTAGTAAATTGTAATGATGAGGGGCAGCACAAACAAATATGTAAAGCCGAGCGACAATCAACATTTTGTTTTTGTCGCTACCCTTAGGCCGGCAAGTGAGTGTGCGGATGTGATCCAGCTGCAAAAATAACAACAACAGCAACAGCTAAATAAACGTTAACAGCACTGCGAGCATAAACAACAAGAAGAAGACGCTGTAAGAAAAACTACAACTAAAAATTAGAAAAAGAAAGCAACAGACAAGTGTAAGAAGAAGCAGTGTAAGAGAAGTGCAATTGAATTAACAGTTTTGACAGCAGCCAGTCAGCAATTGGAGTGAGGGAGAAAGAGAGCTACGCAGCAGCAGCAGCAGCCGCAGGACTGTGCGTCGCTGAGGTTGAGAATTGGACAGAGTAGTCGAGGAACTCTTTCCAGAGGCGGAGGAAATGTATTCGGCAGTGAAGCCGCTGTCCAAATATCTACAATTCAAATCGATACGGATCTACGATGCCGTCTTTACAATACATTCCAAGTGCACGGTCGTCATACTGTTGACCTGTTCCCTGCTGCTGTCGGCCCGCCAATACTTCGGCGATCCGATACAGTGCATCAGCGAGGAGAAGAATATCAATTATGTGCAATCCTATTGCTGGACCATGGGCACCTACATCATCAAGCTGGATAATTTCAGCGATCGCCAGCTGTTGCCGACGCCGCCAGCGTTGCGTGCCGGACGCAACCGGATCAGCCTGCGTCGGCTGGCGGATTACAATGAGGAGTACGCACGCGCGATGTCCATTGCGGAGGGCGTTGGCCCAGAGATACGCGGCCAGACGCAGCGCGTCTATTTGCGGTATTATCAATGGGTCATCATATTGCTGCTCTTCCAGTCGTTTGTCTTCTATTTTCCGTCGTGCCTGTGGAAGGTGTGGGAGGGCCAGCGGCTCAAGCAGCTCTGCTCGGAGGTGGGCGAGGCTCTGCTCTCGGATCAGACGTACAACACGCGGCTGCGCCTGCTGGTCAAATACTTTACCACCGACTACGAGGATATGCACTATTGCTATATGGCCAAATATGTTTTCTGCGAGCTGCTCAACTTTCTCATCAGCGTGAGTAGCAGCTGCCAAACCCAAAACCCACCCGATCCCAAGCCAATCCATCCGATCTTCTAACCCAACCTTCCAGATACTCAACATACTCGCGCTGGAGGTGTTTCTGAATGGTTTCTGGTCAAAGTATCTGCACGCGCTGGCCACAATACCGCTGTACGATTGGGATCGCTGGAATCACATATCGTCGCGCGTCTTTCCCAAGATCGCCAAGTGCGAGGTGCTCAAATATGGCGCCAGCGGCACCGCCAGCATTATGGACAACCTGTGCATACTGCCGCTGAACATACTCAACGAGAAGATCTTTGTCTGCCTGTGGTGCTGGTTCCTGCTGATGGCCTTCATGTCCGGCCTGAACCTGCTCTGCCGTCTGGCCATGATGCTCAGCCGGACGCTGCGTGAGCTGATGATACGCAGCCAATTGCGCTTCATGACCAAGCAGCATGTGCAGCGCGTTTTCCGGGATCTAACCATCGGCGATTGGTTCCTCCTAATGAAAGTTAGCGTCAATGTGAATCCCATGCTGTTCCGTGATCTGATGGACGAGCTCTGCGAGCTGCGCAGCACGCACAGCTCCACCTCCTCCCTCACTCTGCTCGAGAGTCCCGCCTAGCCTACGTGTGGAGTGTTATGCATTGTTAACTATCAAATTAGTTATGCCAACGACCAGGTCGATAGTCAACCGCCCAAACTCGCTGTGCTTAGTGTTTGTGCATAACAATACATTGCTATGTATTCTATGTACATATATATATAGATAGCTATATATCTTTTGACATTTATGTAGTCCGATCAAATGAGTGCTATACGCAAATATATATATTTCATATTCTTTAAGTTGTTTACTGTGAAAGCAACTCTTGAAGAAGTATGCCAGGCAACATTCATGTATCGATATATATCGATCTTAGGTAAATATCTTTAGGCTAACGAGATGCCGATATCATATCTATTCTATGTATATATATAAAGATATAGATAGAAATATTTTTAATATATATTTCATATTCTTTAAGTTGTTTACTGTGAAAGCAACTATTGAAGAAGCATGCCAGGCAACATTCATGTATCGATATATATCGATCTTAGGTGCCTTTATAAATATCTTTGGGCTAACGAGATGCCGATATCATATATATATATATAGATATTTACATCTTTTATATATATTTCATATTTTTTAAGTTGTTTACTGTGAAAGCAACTCTTGAAGATGTATGCCAGGCAACATTCATGTATCGATATGTATCGATCTTAGGTACCTTTATTAATATCTTTGGGCTAACGAGATGCCGATATCATATATATATATATATATATAGATAGATATATCTTTTATATATATTTCATATTCTTTAAGCTGTTTACTGTGAAAGCAACTCTTGAAGAAGTATGCCAGGCAACATTCATGTATCGATATATATCGATCTTAGGTAAATATCTTTAGGCTAACGAGATGCCGATATCATATCTATTCTATGTTTATATATAAAGATATAGATAGAGATATTTTTTTTATATATATTTCATATTCTTTAAGATGTTTGCTGTGAAAGCAACTCTTGAAGAAGTATGCCAGACAATATTCATGTATCGATATGTATCGATCTTAGCTTCTTAACGACATGATCTTTAAATACTTTGTACTGTTCGTTGTGATATTGGGGGCTTATGAGAACCGCCTAGAAGTATTATAGATAGATGGAAAATAGTTGGAAATGCTGCTCTTATATGTTCTAAGTTTATATATAGGTAGATATATCTGTTGACATAATTATAGTCCGATATATATTATATATACATAAAGTTATTTGCTGTTAATGTGCTGCTGTAAGTGGAGTCTTTGGCTAATGAGAACTGATATGAAAGAAACGGAAAATGGGGGGAAATGCCGCAACATGTTGCCCATTGAGAAGTACGTGGAGTCCAATTGTTCGGCTGTAGTTGCCGATTGAGCAATTCGTCTATTAAGCTGCCTTCAACGAGATCTCGAAATAAAGCAAGGCTTGAATCAACAAAGTGGAGTATTGTTATCTATGGTATGTTTTCTTTTGAAATATCTCAAAAAGGAAAGTTTTTCACACAAAAACTCAAATTTTCCAGGCAAAGCAACTGCGTTTATCCAACCCAATTTAAATATTGTGCCAAGTATTCGGAGCTAAAAGCTGGTAAGTTCCATAAAATAGATCTTTAAGAACAAAAAAAAAATTTCAAAACAAGATCATGATTATCGATCGCTAGTTAAGTTGTAAAGTAATTAAGTTAACTAAGTATTCATTTAAGTATATAATTAATATATAAATATTGGAATCATGTTGTCTTCTTTAAAAGTATTTGACCTTGAATTGTGACCTTGCAATAATATTCTCGATGGGTTCCAAGAAATGGGATTGAAAAACGGCTTAGTAATGGATTTTAGAACTCGGTATTCAGGCTAGATCAGTTCATACGAGTTCAAAATTCTTTAGTTAGAACAGTTTGTTAGTTTGAAGAGGTGCTTTATAGGGTACTTTTCGTTGTTATGAGGCCCCACCGTACCTGAAATCTAAGTACAGCTCTAAGGAAGGAAATAATAGTCGGTTGGGTTTAGTTTTCAAAATGCCAAAAGATTTATTATTGACGAGAACTTGAAGATAAAACAGCAGAGCACTTTAGCATCCAATTGATAATTCTGAGCATACAGACGATAATTTTACAACGTCACGGATTTTGAGCAACGTTCGTTTGTGAATGGAACCATTTCTTCACTTTCTTTTTGTTTTTTGCATTATTCGTTTTTGTTTTTTGGTTTTTTGGTTTTTTGTGGATGCCGCCTACAATGATCTCGATGACTTCGTTATGGTCATCGAGGCGCAGAGGGCGGCACAGAAGGTGGAGAAGCCCATGTGCCCGGTGCCATCGCAGTCGACCACATCGATCATCTGTTGAACCTCCTCCTCGTTGTGATTGTAACCGTATTGCTTCATAATTGCGCTCAGCTGTTGGGCCGTCAGGAAGCCGGTATTGCCCCAGTCCAATATATCAAAGATCATTTTAAACTCCGCCAATGCTTCAGACATTACCTTAAACATGTTTTCAAAATGGTATGCAAAGAAAATCAACAACAACAAAAATGTTTATACAAAAATAACCAAAAATTTATGTTCTTTTTTTTCGTATTAATTAAGACTGATAATATACAGATTTCGAGCTGTTATGCGTGTCGAGACTTGGAGATATATGAGCTCTGTTCATGTGTTGACAATAGGCTCGTCGGCTGCTGAGAATCCCGAGAGCCAAAGGCTGCTTTGATTTTCTCTGTGTCCCTTTTTTCATACACAACATAAACGGATTCGAATCCTCCAAGCTTGAGTTGTGCATGTCGCACTTTCTTAGCCGAACTACTGCATACTTGTTCAGTTAAAGTTTGTTTGAGGATATATCCTATATTCAATATTTAATAATCAGTATTAATACACAAAGAGCCAAGCCACGTGGAAATCGGATAAGATTTGATCGAGTTATCAGCGCAAAACGTCACCCACCAAATCTTTGACCCATATTTCCACAAAGGAGAAATGCATTTTTTCGAAAAGTGTGAAACACACCTTCAATGAATTTGAACATAGATCTTTGAAAATGAGTTTGGGCCCGGTCGGATGGTAAACAAAAAAGTTTCATACTAACTTCTTTCGCGCTTTTTCCACACATGCGGGTGGAATATCCCGAAACCCCGTCTTAACGTGCATCTTCATCGCATAAGGTAATTACTACAATCAAAATTTCAACTTCCTAGCTCTTACGGTTTGGACTGTGCTTTGGTCACCAATCAGTCAGTCAGTCAGACAGTCAGTCAGTCAGTCAGTCAGTCAGTCAGTCAGTGAGGACAAACAGTTTTATATATAGAGATATTTAAAACTGAAAATTCATAATGCAATCAGAAATTGTATTCACTTTTGCACTTATTTTCGGATTTATTCAAAGAAGTCACGACCCACATTTGGCACTGACTCGTATTCATTTGATCACACACACACACACTCACATGCACACACACATACACAACTAGATGTCTTCGGCTTGCTTTCGAATAACACGTGCAAAAGTCGCGCGCGTTTCGCTAGCGCTTCTGTTTATTGTGTTTTTGCTGTCGTTTTCGTTTGTGCTTCTGCCACACATTTTAATGTGCATTGTTTATAAACTAAGTAGTTACTGTTGCCGCTGCTATAATTTCGTCATTTATATTTTGTGTGAGGTCTGTGTCTGGCGCATCGCCCCCCGCTGCACGCCTCTGCCGCGACACTCTGCCGGCCCTAAGACGCGTGCAGCTGTAGCTTTTGTTCGTTTGTTTTGCGCACGTTAACAGCGCGGCTCGCTTCTTGGGCTGCCTGCGTGAAACCGTGGCACACACACACACACGCACACACACACACACTTGCACGCGCACACACCCATACATACATGCATACAATAAATGTAAATATTATTCAAAAGTCATCGTGTGGTCGTTGTCGCCTTTTTGCGGGGGCAGCTCGACAAGGGGTGTGACCGTTCTGCCGCGGGCTCTGCCGTTGCTTCTGCCGGCGTTTTCAGTTAGCCAGCTCGTCAGTTCGCCAGCTCGCCAGCTCGCCAGTTCGCCAGTTCGCCAGTTTCTTCAGCTTTGGTTACATCTATTTTGTGTTTATTGTTTTGTGCTTTGGTTTTTATTTTCATT